CATATATCACTTCTAATCTGTTCTTTCCCTCATCTGTTTCAATACAATATACATAATTTATCCAATTTTTCTTAAGAAAATCTAATAACTTCACTCTTTAAAAAGATGACATTTTAGTAATTTTATAGTGCAGTGAAACAATCTGCAAGACAAATACCATTTCCCCCATATCTTACATTATAAACTGAAGAAAATGGGCAGTGTAAGGTAGTAGGAAGAGGATGGATTTTGGTTTCCTTACTCCTTGGTACATAGTATGTAATAGTTATTAATATTTAACATTTTCTTTCCCCACTACATTAGATTATTTTAAAATTTTTTAAATTGTGATTTTAATGCCAGAAAGATTAAATCTTTCTTTACAGAAAAATTTTAAAAAATGAAATAATTGAAAGTTGTCAATTATTTCATCTTGTTTGGATCCACAATCAATACCCTTGGTACCAGCAGTCAGGAAATCAGGAGACACATTGCACTGGGAAAATCTAGAGTCAGGGAATTCTCCAAATTATTGTAGAGCAGTGATGTCAGTTTGAAGACTATGGTTATGGTGTACATGATTTAGGCAGTAGTCTCTCCAACCACTTACTACACATCTGAGGGCTTGACAGTGAATACGGATGACAGAAGAAGAATTGATGCCTTTGAGCTGTGGTGTTGGAGAAGGGTACTGAATATCCCATGGACTGCTAGAAGAACAAACAATTAGGTGTTGGATAAAGGACAGCTAGAATGCTCCTTGTAGGCAAAGATGTTGAAGCTTTGTCTCACATAACTTCAGGCATGTTGCTAGGAGGGCCTATTCTTTGGAGAGGGACATCATTCTTGGAATAGTGGAGTGTCAGAAGAAGAAAGATCCTCAACCAGGTGGACTGACACAATGGCTGTCACAGTGGGCACTAGTGTGTCAAGAAGTATGAGGATGGCTAGGATAGAATAGGGTTCAGATCTGTTGTTCACAGGGTGGATATAAGACAGCACCTAACAGCACCAACGTTATAGAAAGATGAGGTTTTCATTCATTCAGTGAGACAATACATATGTTCCTCTCTTCCCTCTCCCTTTCCCCTCCCCCAGTTCACTATGGATTTTGTTTTCATTCTTGTACCTTGTATTTTATGGAATCATCCATATACTTTTATATTTTATAAATTTAATTACTATTGCTTTATGCATATTATCACCCTACCTTTTCAAGTCCCCATTGAACATATCCTGTTCTTTCACTCCTCTCCACCCACCAGCCTCTGAAATTCCAGTGATTTCCCTCCATTTCCCCTTTCTGCTTCCCTTCTCCCCTTCCCTTCTCCTTTTGAACATATATACATATCTTGCTCACTTTTCCTCCTGTGTTCACAATAATTGTCTTACGCAGTAATGCAGTATTTGTCCTTATGAGTTCATATTTGCCCTTTTACTAGTATAATGCTTCATATCTCTCCCATGTTTTATAGTAATTTATTAAATAGATGTTCACTTCATCCCCTTTTCTTGAGAGAAATAAATTTCTTAGTATGAGGACAGAAATACTAGTTTTGTGTGGTCAGTAGCTTCCTTTAGAAATCTGTACTTGTTTTTTGACTGTAGGAAATTTTCTATAAATAGATTAGAATGAAATTCTGTCTGTCCTTACATAAATTACAATGTCTTTAAGTTAGTTGATTATTCGAAGCTATAATGAACGTAATATTTTTTCCAAGAGAAACAGTCTTCAGTGGTTCAAATCCACCAGCTGCTCTGCAGAAGGATGGGCAGTCTCTTCCTATGCAATTAATTGCCTCTGAAAACTCACTGGAGGGTCAGCTATGGGTCAGTTCTGACTCAACGGTGCACAACAACAACATAATGATTGTACCACTCATGCCCCAGAGTTGAGGGGTTGTGGAAGACTATAGCTAGAATAAAATTATCCCATTCTAGAAGGAATGGAAGAATTTCCCACCTTCTATAATGGAAATTGAATCACAAAAACTTCCTTCAAGCCCAGCCTGTTTTTATTTTCTAAAAGTCAGCTGACTTTTGGTGCTTGGGGCTATGGTGAGTATGTTTGTGTTTTTTCCACCTTTCTTAGAGTGTATTTAGGATTGCTCTGCGTCTTCATAATGAGCTTCTAAATTACAAATGAATTGATTTATCTCTTGACTAAGCCCTTCAGTGATTTTCATCACAATTAGCATTAGATTCACACTTTACCCTTGACCTGTAAGATCCTGTGTGACCTAATTTGCATCCCTCATTTTGCATCACTCTTCATTTCTGAGCCTTCATCTCAGCCCTCCTCTAAGCTCACCATGCCTTAAGGTTTTTGTACTTTCTGTCCCTTCTGCCTTATAGTTCTTATATGGGTGCCTTCTTCTCATGCCTGCAGTATCAACTCAGGTGTCTCCTTGCCAAAACATCCCACTCCCTAAAGTAGACACAATCCACATTATCAGTTTATCTCTTTCCTTTTATTTTGTTGTGCTATCTTTATCGCACTTGTCCTTTTCAGTTTTTTTTCTTCTTTATATATTTATTTATGCATTTATTATTCACAGCCTTCCTCGAGAAAGAAGGTTTTTCTCTAGCAGGGAACTCTGATGGCATGCTCCGTAGGAATTTGTGCTGCTAACCCAGAAGCTGAGTCTTTCTGGAAATTTGAAAATCTACTAATAGCTTTACAGGAGAAATTGGAGCAGTTTCCTCCCTGCAATTTACAGCTTCAGAAACCAACTGAAGTGTCAGCTATGAGTCACTTCCAACTCAACAGCAATGAGTTTCTCTAGCATGCAACTTCCTTGTTTTCCCAAGATCTAGAAGGATCTTATTTAATTAAATATTAAATGTGAATGAAATCTCAGTGC